GTTAATTTTAATTACATGAAGTTCTTTAAATACAAATATTATATGATGATGAGTGAAATTGTGAAAACCAATATTTGTTCAGGCGTTATTTAACATAATCGACCGTGTGAACAATATTATAGAAGTTATTAATCAGCAATTACTTCATTTCTTTAATAAAAGTTTAAGTCCTAGAATGCTAATTACAATGACAAACCGATCATGTCATATTTGAAGTATAAAACCATATTTAAACAAATTATATAAATGTGTATCATGGTTGACACTAATAAATGTGTGCATCACGAGTGTTACCAAATTACTAATAAACATTATTTAAAATTGTAATGTGATGTATTTATTTTTACTTAGATGCCATATTGTATAGTAGCAAAATAAGTTTTACTTCAATCGTGTGTGAACCTTACACGCACTCTTTTTTTTATACTTTGTTATTTTTTAGCTCGCCTACATGTTCTTCTTAATAATGTTCACCTATACGGTCTTGGTGAAAATGGACGACACTCCGACGTGGCAAGAATTTTATTCGATAGCATATATTTGCACTTTGGGTTGCGAAAAAATTAGAGAGATTGTGTCATCTGAACCAGTAGCCATTAGGTAATAAATATTTATAATTAATAATAATATTTATAATTAAATTCTTAGGTAAACAAGAGACAATTCATTATCGTTCAGATTTTTCTCATCTATGACTTATGAGACAAAAACTACATAGTATAGTCTTAGAGAATTAAATATAAGCCAATTCTTGCTAATAAAATTTACTATAATCAATATGACTAATATATTTTTTCCTATTTTAGTCACAAATTTGCAGTCTGGTCCTACAATATGTGGAATCCCTGCGATGCTGTCACAATTGTGGTTTTCCTGATTGGCCTGAGTCTGAGGCTAAGGGCCAGTACAAGGGACATTGGTCGTGTCTTGTATTGTGTGGACAGTATTTATTGGTACTTGAGGATTTTGAATATCTTAGGAGTTAACAAATACTTAGGTAAGATAATAAAAGGAACTAGTGGTGTATGGCATCGTGCCTTAAGGCAAATTGCTGGAACTTCCCGTAGTGTAATGAAATATTCGAGAAATTTTAAATGTTTTCAAATATATTATTACAAACACTGTAACTTTCATTAGTTTTGCTATCTTGTTTGTTATATCTGAGCAAATCAAATGTAAATCATAAATCATAAATCAATTTATCTTCAGAACATTAAAAATCGTCATTTCATTTCGAATTCAATTTCAAAAAAAAAAAAAATAGTTGCCTAATTTACACAAAATCGAAAAAGTGCTCCCGTATGGTCACAGTCTAAACGCATTTGCAAATAATTCTGTGCGACATTTTCACTTACACTGTGCTTACCTTGGCGGCATTTTCCCATTTTTCACATTGGAAAAGCGCTCACATAAACAGTTTTAACGCACTCGGGTAAACATTTGTACCAGAGTGCCGCTTAGACTGTGCTTAGCCTGGGTCATTTTTTGAATTTTTAATCCAAAATTACAAAAGTATTTTATGGAAAATAAAAAAATAAAAGGGACTCTACTGACGAGCAAATTAAAATGTTGACAGAAAAAGGGACTTTACTGATGAGAATATTGAAATGGCAATACGAATAGAGACTTTACTGACGAGAATATTAAAAAAAGGGACTCTACTAACAAGCAAATTAAAGTGTCAATAAAATAAAGGAACTCTACTGATGAGCAAATTTAAAATGTCAATGCAAAAAGGGATTCTACCGACGAGTATATCTACTGACAAGCGTATTAAAATATCAATACACTTAAGAACTTTACTGACGAGCAAATTAATATTTAAGTATAAGAAGGGACACTACTGACGAGCAAATTTAAAATGTCAACGCAAAAGGAATTCTACTGACGAGCAAATTCAAAATTTCAGGACAAAAAGGGACTCCACTGATGGGCAATTGAGATTGTCAATCGTAATTTGTACTCCACTGGCGTACAAATTAAAATGTCAATAGCAAAAAGGGACTCTACTGACGAAAAAATTAAAATTTCAATACATTTGCCAATAATTCTGTTCGACATTTTCACTTATACTGTGCTTATCTTGGCGGCATTTTCACATTGTTTCAATAGTTTTCACGACCAAACTGAAATAAAAATGAAACTCTACTGACTAGCAAACTAAATTAATAATAGACTCTACTGACAAGCAAATCAATAAATAGAATATAAATTAGGACTCTACTGACGAGTAAACAGAAATAAAAAGAAATTCATCTGACCAGAAAAATTAAATAAAAGTTAAAAAGGACTCTGGTGACGAGCGAGTTTAAAAATCTATTAATAAAATGCCATATTAGAAATTAAAAGAACTCAGCTGACGATCAAACTGAAATAGAAAAGAACTCTACTGAAGACCACGGTGAAATGAAAATGAAACTCTACTGACGAGCAAACTTAATTAGTATGAAAAAGAACTCTACTGACGAGCAAACCGAAATAATATATAAAAAGGGACTGAATTTCAAAAAAAAAAAATAGTTGCTAATTTACACAAAATTGAAAAATTGCCCCCGTATAGTCACAGTCTAAACTCTAAACGCATTTGCAAATAATTCTGTGCGAAATTTTCACTTATACTATGCTTAGCTTGACGGCATTTTCAGATTTTTCAATAGTTTTCCTTCGTTTTCACAAAATTGGAAAAGTGCTCCAGTAAGTAAACAGTCTAAACGCACTTGGGTAAACATTTGTACCAGAGTGGCGCTTAGACTGTGCTTAGCCTGGGTAATTTTTTAAATATTTTTCTGAGGTATGCCCTTTAAAAATGTTCAGAAACCTTGAAAACGTCGAGAAATGCAAAAGTTTTCATTTTTAATTTTTGGTCCATTTCTATAACTACCCTACGGGAAGTTAAATATATTAAAACAAACTGGTTTGAAATTATTATGCTTATGTTTTTGACAGAAAACTTTTAAAAAAGTATGTTTTATAATTATTACTATATTTTTGTGTCTTTTACCAGGTCCTTTGGTTACAATGATGGGAAAGATGGTGAAAAATATGATCTACTTCGTAGTCTTATTGCTGGTGGTTTTGATGAGTTTCGGTGTGTGCAGACAAGCTATATTGCAGCCTGGAAACGACGCCAGCTGGAATTTAGTCAGAGATGTAAGTTAATTATAATAAAGTAAAATTTTATCACTTATATATTTATATTTCTAACTTCTGTACTTCCTCCATGTCTTTTTAATCCGTGGACGCTGCACAATTGGACCAACATCAATTTTTTTTTACAATTAATGCTAAATTTAGGTATTTTTTCAACCTTACTTTATGTTGTACGGAGAAGTTTTTGCTGATTCCATAGATCCACCTTGTGGTTCCGAATTGGGTCTGAGCGATTGCGTAACCGGCCGTTGGATTACTCCGATTGTGATGTCGACTTACCTTTTGGTCGCCAACATTTTGCTGATCAACCTGCTGATTGCTGTTTTTAATAATATATTTATAGAAGTCAACGCTGTATCACACCAGGTGAAAAAGCACCAGCAGACAGGGGATTTATTTTTAGCCAAATTTTTAGTTTTACCCAGAGACCAGCTTGACCTCCTCCAAACACTTTTGTTGCTTTTATTTATATGTTTATTTTATTTTTATTATTTTTTTACCCAGGTTGTCTTCCAACCCTACTTTATGTTGTACGGTGAAGTGTTCGCTGACGAAATAGACCCGCCTTGTAGATCAAAGGGTCTTCGGCCCCAGAAGGGACAAATTCGACAGAATGGGAAGAGTTGCCCGAATGCGTCACCGGACATTTCATAACGCCGTTGGCGATGAGTGTTTATTTATTGGTTGCTAATATTTTGTTGATTAATTTGTTGATTGCTGTTTTCAACAATATTTTCAACGAGGTCAATGCTGTCTCGCATCAGGTTTGGGATTTTTAGTTCATTTATTTAGTTATATTGAGTTCATTTTATTTATCAGTTAACATTGCTTTATTATACTGTGACATTTTGTTAAAAAATTAAAATTTGTCAATATGTTTTTATTAAGGGGGTATTCTAGTGTAGAAATTAACAAAAAAACGATTTTTCTATTTCATATTTTCAAAGTTTAACTATCTAAGAATATGGGTACGAGAAGGTTTTTGAAAATTTGAATTATTTTCGGAGAGTTTTACTAACCCGGTCTCCATACTGGTTTGGCTTCACGCAAAACTTTAATGCGTTTTTCTCAGAATAGACTTTTTCAGTACTGTTGACACGATTTCTCAAGTTTTACTCGACTTCACTTGAAATGTTCAGAGAGTCTTATTTATAAACCTATCTATAGCCCGAACTAGGATTATTCCCAAATTCCATTTTTTTCTATTTTTAAAAAATTGGAGAATCTCAAAAAAAACCAGTAAAATAAGCACTTTTTTTTTCAAACAGCCGCCAATTTGTAAAAAAAAAATTTTTTTACTCATCATTAGTTCGGGCGATTGCGACATCATTATAGATTAATAATTTTTTATTTTTGGCTTTTTCGATGGCTGAGAGGGCTGAAATCTTGTCAAGACTGAGGTGCCAATTTTTTGAGACCATCCACTTCATCAGCTGCCAGTTTTTACAATTTTCAAACTTTTTTATTTTTTAATTTTGTTTTGTATTTAAAAAAAAAAATGGATAGTAAAAACATTCATTGCTTTCTTTTACGACGCTTTGAAAATGACCAAAAATTCATCGCTCTACACTAGAAACCCCCTTAACTTTCTGCAAAAATTCTCATTTATATATTATTTTTTTCCCAAGGTTTGGATGTTTCAAAGATTCACAGTCGTCATGGAGTTCGAACAGAAGCCAGTTTTGCCGCCGCCACTGATAATTTTAAGTCACTTTTATTTATTATTAAAATATTTAAAGAGAAAAATCAAAGGCGTGCGAGAAACTTACGACAATGGTCTGAAATTGTTTTTGGAAAAGGACGACATGGAACGTTTGTACGATTTTGAAGAGGAGTGCGTTGAGGGATATTTCAGAGAACAGGTGAGAAGAAAAAAAATTAAAATGTTTTGGGAAATTAAAAAATACTTTGTACTACGTTTGCGGTAAATTAAAAAATACACTTAAGACGCTATAATATATATAATATAATAATATAATAAATAAATATATAATATAATAAATACCCTGTCCATACAAAGTCAACACGTTAACGACCTTTGCCTCGACGAACCATATATTAGGTTGTCAAATATCTCCCTTCCGCTTTTTTGCTCTTGGTTTATAATACAAAAAGGCGGAAGGGGGATATTTGACAACCTACAATATATATATTATATATATATATATATTTATATATATATATATATATATATATAGATATATATATATATATATATATAATATATATTAATTGGAAACATATTTTTAATATATATTTTCAAGTTAAAATGGAAATCTCTGCTGTCTGATATCAGGTTTTTTAGAGTAGATATATAATTTCAAGAAAAATGAAGAAACTATGATTATTTGCTTTTGCGAAAAAAAGGAACTCTACTGACGATCAAACTAAACCTTAGAATCAAAAATGGGAAAAATTAAAAAAAAAACAGTCTCGAATCACTTTAAGTTACAATTGTATTTTTACATAAAAAGGAGCTCCACTGACACAATTTAACAATGTATAAACATAACCTTGAATCAATAAAAATAAATAACAAAATTTACAACACTCAAAAATTACAAAATAATTCTAAGAGAGAAAATGTACTCTACTGATTATCGAATGTAATCAATGATAGGAAATAACAAAATTAATATAAATACCTCAAATTACTATCTACTTTTACAAAAAAGGACTGCACTGCGAGCAAAATGAATCTTACAGAGTTTTATGCTTACTTTTTTCGAAAAAAAAGGACTATACTGACCAGCAAAGTGACTTTTCGAATTGTTTTAACGATCAACTACATCAGGTTCAGAATGACTTTTATGAATATAGAGACTTTACTGACCAAATTTAAATGTTTGGGTACTTAGTTAATTTACAGTTTACTTTCACGTGAAAAAGAACTCTACTGACAAACAAATTAAACCTTTTAGAATTTTACCTTTTGTTTATGACAGAGAGACAGACAGACAAAGAGAGTTCTCTGTCTACTGTCATATTAATAGTACAAAATTTGTTTTCCTCTTTTAGGAGTTCAAATTGAATCAATCTACAGAAGAAAGAGTCCGTAACACAACCGAACGAGTAGAAAACATCGTGCAAAAAGTCGAGGACATCAACCAAAAAGCCAATTTACAAATCAGCACAATACAGGTAAAACAAATTCAATTCCATCAATCCCAAATCTCTTTCCTTCAACTATCTTTTCCCTCAGAGTCTCGAGTTCCGTCTCCGCAAAATGGAGGACACGACAGGCCAAATAATGTCTCATCTGGCAGTTATCCACCGTTTTATGGCCCAACACACGACTCCTCCGCCCTTGGCCCCACATTCAGGCACCATTGTGGCCCAACAGCACCTTCATCAGTCTGCAAGCGAATTGGACAAAATTGCAGGCAGTCACGAAGTCGAGAGGCTGCGAAGGGCCAGCGAGAGATCGGATGAGACAGATGTGTTGGCTTTGGGCCAAGGCCTAGGGCCGGCTGTACCCACAGCTTTGGGCTTGGGCAGTGTGAGGAGAAGGCCGGTAGTCAGATCTCTGACTGAAGTTCGGCCTGATGCTTATATTTTTGATGATGGACGGATCGAGGTAAGGGGGGGGTAAAGGAATTAGATTGGTGGGTTGTTTTAAAATCTGCGACTAGATTGGATTGTTTTTTGGTTGTAGGTGAAACCTTTGAATGAAGAAGATGAAGACATGTTGGATGAGGACAACGTTTTGGCAGGTGATGTCATTAAACAGAGATTTATGGCATCGCATGCAACTTCACCAGTGCCTTCGCAGCACCATCTGCAATCGGTAAGATATATATACACACACATATAAATATATGTATATATATATATATATATATACTAGCTGACCCGGCAAACGTTGTTTTGCCAAGTAAGGTATTTTCTGAACAATATCTAGAGAATCAAAAATATTAATACTTCAAGTGCATAAGGATGTGTCGTTTGAATGCTATATACAATGAGGTATCATAAAAACAATAAACCCCATTAGTTTGTCTACATTTTGTCAATACAATCAAACTGGAAGTTTCATACACTTTCTATAAAAAACATGGTATAGTCCAATCCAAGTCTTTTCTGGTCTTTCGACTTATATAGTCATTACAAATTCCATTTAATCGAATATTGATTGCGTTTTTCAGATTTTTTTTCGCTTCTGAAGTTTGCGTATATTTGTAAATAATACTACTGAGCTTATGCGAGGAGAGATAAAAAACGAAAGTATTTCTTTTTGACCTGCTTTTTGAAAAGTTTCAAGTAACTTTCGATGATTAAAGTAAATTTAATGAAAAGTATATATGTAGAGCAGGGCAAAACACAAAGATCCAACTTGACTTTGAGCAAATATAAATTATATTATGAAAATCAAACCAGTTATATCACAACGAATGACACATTTCAAACGATAAAAATTGTCTTTTAAAAATTGTATAGACGAGATTAACTTGAAACGGCTAGATGGCAAACAGGTTTAATGTCTTATTTTAATTTTAAAGGTATTTTACAAAGTAATTACATTTTTAACTAATGCTAAAAAACTACCAACGGAAGAAAATACTTTTATTATGGATTTTTAAAGATTACGATTTATCTTTCAATATCAAAGTTATAAGAATCAAAGTTATAGCTGGTTATACATATTTTTCCCTCTACTTTCAAATATAGTTGTTAAACAATGCTAAGCTTTACTAGTTTTTGACACATCGGTGGTGGAACTTTTTAACCCCGGACCTTTATATATTACTATCTATTTTTCGATAAATTCTAAGAAATTATAACTGGGAAAATATTATTCGACAAAATGTTCATTTGATCGATACCAAATTTAGGTTCTGAATTTAAATAACTTAAATAAAAAATTATATAACCTAGAAAATGTTTCATGAATACCAATGAGTATATAATTATACAATTGAGATCTTTCAGAGCACCGTGTTTGAGAAAAATATGCCAAAAAGTGCATTTTCATATTAGCATTTCAAAAAATTTGATATATTGAGTTTCTAGTAACACTTGCGGCTCTATTACATGATTTTACTGCATTGCAAAAATATAGCTGTTTTTGTAAGAAACATATGTGATTTTATATTTTTATAATTTAGTACACCTATTTATAAACAACATACTAAAATTTTGTAACTCCAGTATAACGTTTTATATTTTTAAATATTTCAAAATACTCATCAAACCGTGGACTTGCAACTATTGGAAACTAGATATGCAAGAGTGCATTTGTTTACAAAATTGCATATTTATAGCTTTTTTTGTTAGAAACATATGTGATTTTATATTTTTATAATTTAGTACATATATTAGGTAATAACATACTAAAATTTTATAGCTTTAGTATAATATCGTATATTTTTAAAACATTTTTCAAAAGCACTTTTCATATCATATCCAACCGTCGATTCGCAACCAATAAAAATAGTGTATTTCTGTTAGAAACATATGTGATTTTATATTTTTATAATTCAGAACACATATTATGAAATAACATACTATAATTTCATAACTGTATTACAACACTTTATATTTTTAAAATATATTTTAAGCCGTCAATTTGTTTACGTTAAAACGATTACCAACGTTTTTGTGTAAAAATAAACCTACAAACAAAACTACTTAATACAATTTAATCATAATTAAATAATATTCGCGTAAAACATCCTATTAAACGTAATTGAATATTATATGTTAAAAACGTTTGACATTTGACGTATTAGCCACCGTCCATTGTTTTATTTAAATTACGCTTCTACAAAAATTTTCACATCGAAAATGTAAAGATCCTACATGATTTTAAAATAATATCTCACCTTTCCGACAACCTACTGATTGGCACGAACTTTTCAAGACTAAGACTGGCCAAATCGGTTCAGCCGTTTTCGAGTTTTAGCGAATCATTTTATCGAGAGCTCAATTTATATATATATATATATATATATATATATATATATATATACATATATCCTTTACCCCAGAGTGCCACAATCACACCCCTCGGCGTATCCCGTCAACCGAGTGCCGAAACCCCGACCAACGGCCAAGGACCAACTCCCCAGCCTTCTACCCAAACCCAATCTGGCCCTACGTCCGCCCACGGCCCACCGGTTCACCAAACGACGATTCAAAGGGCCAAATTGGAGAGAGGACTTTCTATGATGGAAGGACGAGGCAGGTTCGCACAAGACGACGGTGTCGATATTGGGCCTGCAGGAGATCTGACACCAGGAGGAGGAGATACGGAGCAGGACGATGATGCTATTTTGGATTTGAACTTCCAGGATGG